AAAGCAGAAATATATGCCCAAATGTTCAATGTTGAGGTGCATTCGCGATATCTATCCAGACAGGATCGATATGATAATTTACCAATATATCAATGGTTTCCCAGCAAAATGTCATCATGTATTGGTCAATTCGTCCTTGTTTTCACGAAGTGACGGTAGTGAGGAAAATCGTAACGCAAAGTGAATGCAATTTTTTTTCACTACCGTCACTTCGTGAAAACAGCGACGAATTCTTTCACATGATTGGTAATAAGAGCTTCCATTTCATTTTTTGAGAGTGGGGCATTTTGAGAGTGGGGCATTTCCCAAACTGGTCTTTAACTTTTAGATGCATGCGCAAATGGAGGAAGTGAGCCTATTGAGGACGGGGAAGAAGAGGATGGAGACGAAGGGGAGAAAGAAGGAGAGAAGAAGAGGAGGAGGAGAAGCAGATTAAAGCTTGGAATAAGGGAAGGAAAATATTAATGAAGGAGGAAGATGAGAAGAAGGAAGCAGGAAAAACTTGAAGGCAAGAGAAAATAAACAGAAGAAGAAAAGGAGAGAGATCGGAAAGGGGAAAAAGAAAGGGGAAGGAGAAATGAGGATGAATAAAGAAATCATAAGTTTTAGGGAAGGTCAAAAGGGAGAAAAGGAGAACTAAAGATAAGGAAAACGGCAAGAAGAAAAAGATGTAGAAGAAGAAAAAGGAGGAGATGGAGCGGAAGGAGAAGAAGATGCAAAAGGATGATCAAATAATCTCCTCTGAGAGTTTAAGACAAGAGAAGAAGATGAAGAACAAGTAAAACGGGGGAGGATAAGAAGAGAAGGAAAAAAAGCTTATTGCAGAAGAAAGAGAAGCAATCAAATAAATATTGAAAAAACGATTAAAATGAAATGTAGAAAAATATAGATAATCATTATGAAACAAATTAGGTACGACGAAGGAAAGGTAAAACATTTATGAAGAATATTTCCACTAATATAACATTATGAAGAAAAAAAATAGATACGTTAGTCAAAATAACTAATGAGGTATCGATTACCAATGTTGCCTTGAAGAAATAGGCCATTTTCGTAAATTAACCAAATTTAATGCACAAGTCTTTGTGAAGTGCCTCAATACAAACTATATTTCAAAAGTCAGAATGCAAACTGCATAAAGCGTTGATAGGTCAAGCCATAATTTTTGCGGCTACCTATAGGAACAACTAATGTATGCAGTTCGGATTATGTCTATTGAAATACTATTATTCTTGTCAGGTGAATGAAATGATTTGTATTGAGGCACTTCACAAAGACTTATGCATTAAATTTGGTTACATTACGGAAATGGCCTATTGAATTGAATTTATTAATTCATTATTGATAATGAATTAGAATGAACCGCAAGGGAGTGTGTAGCCTAAAATTTGATAAGAATAAACTTTAAGAATGAACCGCAAAGAAGTGTGTACCCTAAAATTTGATAAGAATAAACTTATTCCTATCCAAATACATTTATCCTACATCTCACCTTCACCTTGTTATGTTGTACAATGCGACATGTCAGGGGTTATCTGAGTCATTGTTCTGCAATCGCACGACTACTGCTGAAACAGAAAAGGCGTAGAAAGAAAAGGCTTGCTGTGTTTCAAAGGCGTATCAAGGTCATTGGGAGTACGAATGAACAATGATAAACACCAAACTTTTTGTCAGAAATATGTATCCAATATGTGATGAATTGAATTGATGGCGCTGCAGTTCTTACGACAGTATGTCTGGTTGGTCGGTTGGATGTTTTTATTTTCTGTATAAAGATATACAAAAAAAAATATTCACAATTCAATAACTAACAAGACTGATGAATTGCTCTATTCAGAGCCGTAGACACATGTATAAAATATTATGGGCTTCGTTTTATGCCTCCGCCACACAAGTGAGTACCGGAGGCATTATGTTTTCGGGTTGTACGTCCGTCCGTCCGTCCGTCCTTCTGTAATTTCTTGTGAACGCGATAACTTTAGAACGAATCGAGGTATCATAGTTTAAACTTGGTGAGAGTATGTATGACCGTGGTGAGATTACCTGATTAAATTTTGGGGGTCAAGAGGTCAAAGGCCACAGGTCACGGGTCAATTTAAATGTGCTGAGAAAAAAAATTATGTAAAATATCTTGTAACACGATCATAGTTAAACTTGGTGAGAGTATGAATGACCATACGAAGATTGCTTGATCATAATATTTTGGGTCAAGATGTTAACGGCTAAAGGTCACGGGGCAATTTAAATGTGCTGAAATATCTTGTGAACCACGCGCTTGAGAGAACGAATCATGCTATCGTAGTAAAACTTGGTAAGAGTATGTATGACCATGTGAAGAGGGTTATTATCATCCCTAAGCACTTCTACCCGTAAAAGTTCATCGAAATTAGGGCGCGTCTGCAAATGAGGGTTTTTACCTTTAATCCGATAATTGAAAAATACTGATTACGTTGCAGGCATGCTTAATTATTTTCGACAGCGAGGAATTGATTTTTTTCTAGTTCATGAATATGATGCAAAATGTTACCAATATAATGCGTACGCAATATCGTATCCCCACCCCATCTCTGTAAATAATGATGACCAGATGACTGTTATTATGCTTACTTACAAAAGGAAAATCGTCATTGATAAATCTTTTAAAATATTGGCAATGTCATACTTATTCATTGTTGGCTGTTTTTTCTCCCCATAATGTATTGTGACAAGCCGTCATCCAGGGCGGTGTAGCAAGTGGGGGGGGGGGGGGGGGGGGGGGGGGGGGGGGCGATACCGATTTGGCCCTTTACACTAGTCTAGCACTTGATATTCTGGCGCTAGAACTGCCCCATTAGTGGCGTAGCGCGTGTATAGCCATTCTAGGGGCACTGGCACATTGGGGGGGGGGGGCGGGGAGGCAAGGGGCCCATGTCGCATGATTATAAAAATATGGATTAACAAAGCGGTCCTTTTCTGCTCCCCCGCCCTATTTGATTTGAGGGGGTGTGGGGGGGGGGGGGGGGTAAGACAGGACTAGAGTGCCCCGTGAGATCCCATCCCAAACCACCTGTATCTACACCCATGCACTTTCAAAGCAACAATCATGTGATGTTTTCAGGTTGAAACCTATTTGTTATCATAGCATAGGAAGATAATTTATGGCAACCGCAATCGAGGGTTTGTTCCATCAACAGTTGTTTTAACACTCTGTGCAGGCCCTGGATGGTATTTTGTTTCGCTTGATTTATCAAATAACGGACGCAAATAATGTTAGCAAATAATGTACTCCAGACACATACTAAATGATGTGGGTATTATTATCATTAAAACGTGTACATGATTATGTTGGCTGTAAGTAAATACAGATCTGTTACAGATCCTATATGAAACTAACTATGTTATTATATTATTACTACTGTAACTGCTACTTCTATTAGTTCTAGTGGATACCTACATGTTATTTCCGCTACTGTATAGTTCTATACATTTGGAGCTATGACGAATAATTGATTTTAAAGATAACCTGGGTCGACACTGTTTTCATCTCTATGAATAAAGAATCAGTTATGTTTTCTCTGATATTAATATATGTGTCTACGCTATCTTAGACATTCCCAAGCATGCCAAGTGCTTTTCATAACGCATTCAGAAATAAAGACAATTTTTTGTTATATTCTTTTCAAACATAACACGATACTTGTTTGCCGGAAGCAAAGAGGTCGTAACAAATCATATATAATGCGGCTATAGGGCTTTACATAACGCATTCAGCAAAAAAGACAAATAGTTTTTATATTCTTTTCAAACATGACACGATACTTGTTTGCTTCAAGCAACGAGGTCGTAACACTACCACAGATCATAATATGCGGGCGTGTCTGACACTGTCTTGGTCAACGAATAAACGCAATGTCGTCCACACAGTTTAATGGCTACCAGTAGAAATATGAACTCCACTTAGTGATGATTTTCCATTATCTTTATAGAAAGGGCCAACTATGCATAGAGTGTGCTTTATCGTACGACATTGGCGCTGTCGTAAAATACTGTAGCCGTTAAAATTCAAGAATGTCTCATTTCTTTCCGGACAACTTTAAGTACACGATAAATACGTGTAATATTATTCAGATAATAAAGCGTCTCATTTATGTTCCTGTATGTTAATGGTACCTGTACAATCAAAATTATTGTGCTTATAATTTTGCAGACGATGACAAAGTTCTTAACCCCTTCAAATATCAAAAATGTGGTTCTATATTCGTCTCAGATAAAATTAAGTTTCTACATGTATGTCAGCGTATAATCTTCCTGTTCACGCCCAACTGAATTATCTTTAAATACTTGTCGACATTAGCTAAATTATTTTTGATCAGCTACTAATCAATAACTTTAACTGTTGAATACGTTTCTAAACTTTATATGAACAATAGCATTGATGTATGAATTAAAAAGGAAATTAGATCACTTTAGTATTCTGATGATTTTAAAAAAAAATATAATGTGATTATTTGATTACTTTGTAAATACAGACAATATCAGCCTTGAGCTGCATGCCGTGTTATGTTTAATAAACCAATGCAGTTTTTCTTCTTTGGTATACTCCTCAACGTCCCGTTAGGAACCAAACGAGTTCAGTTCAATACAAAACATATACCTTCATTGGAAGAATGAATACAAAAAATCAATATGCCATCATAAATATTATAATTCAGTCAATAGATTGAGTCCAATATCACCGTTTGTCAGGCTGCCCCAAAACACTCATATCTGAAATTAGGTTGCGGGTCACCGAGTAGATGTTTATTCAAGACATTATCACCGATCTAATGGAAACAACCAGAATGACATCTTGACATGTATTGCCGCTCTCGATCTCTTGTTCAAATTTACAATATTTGTTACCAGTGATTGTGACATGTATTACCGCTCTCGACCTCTTGTTCAAATTTACAAATGTTTTTACCAGTAAATGTAACGATTTTAATCACTGAATTTTCATTTTTTGATCTCTTGTTTCCCAGATTAGTCTCCGTTGTCCATGCAGTTTTTCAGTTTATCTTGGCATCTATTATCATGTCAAGGACGTACAAGGATGTCTTCTTTGCTGAGTAAGTTTTCGATTTCTTTTTAACGAAATGATAATAGGCTTTTTAGAGAGAGAGAAGCAAGTAAAATTTACTTGGATGAAAGAAAACATGATTTTGATTATTTTTGTACTGATAATTTGTAATAATTTTGTAATGATAATTGCCCGGATTGTAATAATATGATTGATTTCAAGGTCTAATTATTTAAACATATTTGTGGTTTACACCCAGTAAAATTGATCGATCTGTAATTGAAAAACAAGTCAGAAGAAATCTTGATGATTAAAATTTCTCCCAGGAAGCATTACATTTATAAAAGTGAATTTATCTGTCGAAATTGTGCTTTCTTTGTTATCGTTCTGCCCGTCAAATTTTGAATTTACTTTGCGTCATCGGCGTCATACCCTCATACATTTCAGGCGTCCCATGCTACCCTTTTTTCTTCATCTCAAATTGCAAATGTAAATTCATTTCTGTCCGTTATAAAAAAAAAAACGTCAAGTTTTCATTGTTCTAAAATGCATATCATTGGTTCGCTCGCTACACCCCAGTCATAAGAACATAATTATGATCTTAATATGGAATACTGTTACACTTCTTTCCCCCGTGCCCTGGCAGAAAAGCGGTTTTCCCTCATAATAATTAAATAATTCCCCACCCCCCCCCCCCCCCCTCTAGCTGACAAAAAATGTGGCTACGCCGTCGTGCGTTGTGTTATTTGAAATGACGTTCTTTAAAAGTTATGAAAGGCCAAACAAATAAAATGAAACGAATCAAAGGAAAACGATTTCTATAGCATTAATTTGTATATTGTCCTTTTTCCCTTCATTTTCTTTTTCTTGTATCTTTGCAGTTGTTCGTTATTAGATCAGCTCACTGTTTTCGCTATTGCATACTGGGTTTACGATGTGGTGATTATGTACAAGTCGTACTGCCTGGAGAATAGGTTGATGAATACACCGTTTTTAACAACGTTCGTACCATTCTTGGGGATAATCCTTTGATCATTATCCACCACGTCGCAGTCCTTGCAGGAAGTGTACCCCTTTCCTTGGTAAGTATGATAGTGAAGATGATGATAATGATGATGATGATGATGATGATGATGTTGATGATGATAATCATAATAATAATAATGATGATGATGATAATCATCATGATAATAAGAATGATGATGAAAATGATGATGATGATGAATCGATGATGATGATGATGATGATAATCAATAATAATGATGATGATGATGAAATTAATGATGATGATGATGATGATGATGGTGATGAAGATGATGATGATGATAATCATCATGATAATAAGAATGATGAAATCTTCCAAAATCGGATCAAAGTCGGAACTATATAGTATAGTGTGCGGTAGGTTTGAGATAATATTAGGAATAATAATATTGTTCAGATGTGTTTTCCGATGTTTGAGTTCAAATGTAAAGATATCAGATCCACATTTAATGGATATCAATGGAACGTTAATGATATATGCGGGCAAGCGACCTAATCCTTATGGCCACATGGTGTTCATACCCCTATGCTCTGACATCGGAGGGGATATAGTAAGTAACGCTGCCGTCCGTCCTTCCTTCCGTGCGTCCATTCGTCCGTAACAAATTTGGTTTCCGATGATAACTTCAGTAACGTTTGACGGATTTTAATGAAATTTGATGGTATGACGGTATATGATATCGAAATACAGGCTAAGTTTAATTTTGGAGTACGTAGGTCAAAGGTCAAAGGTCATAGCTCATTAAATATGCGAAAACATACAAATCTGGTTTCCTATCGATAACTTAAGTAATGTTTGACGGATTTTAAAGAAATCTGATGCGAAGGTTCATGGTATCAAAACACAGCCTAAGTTAGATTTTGGAGTATGTAGGTCAAAGGTCATAGCTCATTAAATATGCGAATCTGGTTTCCGATCCATTACTTTAGTATTGTTTAACGGATTTAAATGACATTTGATATGAAGGTCCATGGTATCAAAACACAGCCTAATGTAGGTCAAAGGTCATAGCTCATTAAATATGCGAATCTGGTTTGCATTCGATAACTTGAGTAATGTTTGACAAATTTTAATGAAATTTAATATGAAGGTTCATGGTATCAAAATACATGTACAGCCTAAGTTTGATTTCTGAGTATGTAGGTCAAAGGTGAAAGGTATTAGCTCATTAAATATGCAAAAAAACCTAGTGATTATGTGAAAATGTGGTTAACTTCCTTGCCTAGTAATATAATAGTATAGTCCAATGGAGGTAACTTGTTCTGACATACATGTATATAGGCCATTTGTATCCTGCGAGGGGATGCTACGCTTTGCGTTGACTTGTTAATTTTTTGCATTATACATTTCGTCCTGATTTATATGTTTCTCTTGTTTTCTCTCCTCCACAGCATTACCGGTTCGGTAAAGCTGCCTTCATGATTGCGAGTGTGCATTTTACCGAATTAAGCGCCCCGTTTCTCTGTATTAGAAAGATTTTTATAAGGGTAAGTAAAACGAATACAGGGCCCTGTTTCATCAAACTTGTTATCAATAACAAGTTACAATAACTGTTATAAGCCACTGAAATCGTGGCATTTGATTGGCTGAGAGCAAAATTGTTTTGGAAATTTAGCATTTGATATTGGTAACACGTTTTATGAAACAGGGCCCGGATGAACTAAGTATCTTGATTAATTTGATTAGTCACTGACTTGGTTGATAGATTTTTGTCAGTGTCACTCTTGAAATGCTATGCAGTGGCGACATAAATGATAATATACAGCATATTTCCCCTTTAGATTAATGTGATTAATAATTGGAGTAACGCTTTCTTATTTGATATGAGATGAGTTTCGTTCCCTATTTATTATAATTATTTGGTTATTTGATTGTTTTTTCTTACTTTTTTTTTTTTTTTTTTTTTTTGGGGGGGGGGGGGGGGGTTGGGGCGTTGCAAGCTTTCCTTTAGGTCAGTCACCCCTGCCGAGCGTGAAATATTTTATGCATACCTAATATGGAGCCGGAAGTTCCTGAAATGATGTAGGATGTACGTGCTGGATATACTTCCTTTATATGTTCTGTAGAATTGCAATGTAACGAGGGACTTCAGTAATCTTGAGGGGGTGCCAAATTGGCCATCCCTCCATAACACTTCTCTTCCCTAAGTCTTATCATAGGTCATTGCAGACTTCCATGTTTTGTTTTTAAATTTTACCCCCTCCCCCCCCCCCCCCCCATTCTGACATCCCTTGATCTGGGTCCTATGAAAATTACCCCCTGGGCAACCCCCCCCCCCCTCCTCTGGCCAATTACCAGTGGGACAATTACCACCCCCCCCCCCCCCTGGACAATTACCCCTAAAAATCACTTGTTATTTGGGTGGACTTCCCCTTTAATAAACAGGGGGGGGGGGGGGGAATTTTCTTGGGGTTAATGTCCTTGGGAGGTAATTTTTCCAGGGGGTAATCGTTATAATACGCCTCCTCTGTAATGTATCTTTAAAGAATATGTTCTGTCCGAGGCAAAGATATGTGATAATGGTATACCCAGCCAGGACAAACAAGGAAGACTACCGGTAACATTACAGGTAGTAAGTGTAGTAGTTAATGTCCGGTGTGTAGGATTTCGTTTTCTAAACCAAATGGATTTGTGATTTCAAGGCAATAGACCACTCTATGTCCCCCCTCCCCCCCCCCCCCCCTCAAGGCTATATATACTGACAGATACAGGAGGCTCTGACACGTCAAAAGTTTGATTAACTTTACCGCTTATCGATTGATTAATACAGGCATGAAAGATCATTTCCGGGGTAAAAAAAGAATTTTAGGATTCTTTTTCTTCTATTGCATCTACCCCTCCACCAGCCCCACCCCTCAACCAGCCCCACCCTCCACCATCCCCACCCCTCCACCAGCCCCACCGCTCCACCAGCCCCGCCCCTTCACCAGCCCCGCCCCTCCACCAGCCCCGCCCCTCCACCAGCCCCACCCCCTCCACCAGCCCCACCCAAAGGAAACCATGGAGGGCAGATGGGATCCCCCCAAATTATACCCCACACCCACCTTTCTGGTGATCCTTAATCCGCCCCTGCTATCTCACTCATCCCATTAATCTTTGTGTAACGCTCCGTTTTTCTTTCTCCGCAGCACGGCTACACCGACAACCTTATATACAGGATCAACACCGCCCTCGCAATTGTAACCTTCTTCTTAGCTCGCATCATCCTCTTTCCCTCCATATACCTCATCTATGCCTACACGTACAATCAGACTCTGTGGGAGGTCGCGACCTCCATGTACTTTGGCTGTCACTTTGTCATGTTTACCGTGACGGTGTTGCAGATGTCGTGGTTTGTCATTTTCATAAGGACAGTCCTCAAAGACCGCTCGTCCAACTCTTTCCTGGACAGCCACCGGAACGCCAACGGGCACAAGATCAAGAGGGAACAGAACGGATACCAGAATGGACACGACGTCGGGCACCCAAAGACGGCGAAGAAATCCGAATAGCCAGTGTTACTAGTACCGGTACTTACTATATTTAAGCGGTCATAATTAAGAGAGGGATGTCCGAGTTACATCGTAAAACCGATTCGAAACCGACTGTTCCTTGACTGTGATATTTGTTTTCTTGGTATACTGTCGGTCTCGATGGTATGACTGGGGTATTTAATGCCACAGTCACACTGACAAATACCGATACGTGACTGGCAACAGACCGAACAAAAAAATTACATTGCTCTGAATGGCCAATATTTGTGCATTATCTATCCTATCTAGGTGTGACTGGGATACTTTTTGTGTAAACCAAACAATATACTAATGATTAAGCAATCATACATTAAAAAAAAGTATAATATTGGCTGTTTTTATCAGTGATATCTCTGAGGTTGAAGTGTATGAAGCACCATCTTCTGAGATTTTGATCACTTCAAATGTTGAAATAAGTGTCATTTTGAAGTTTCAACTCATAGAACTGTGTACGCCATTGGACAATCACGTCCTGGACGTCATTGAAGATGAATGTTCAATGCAAATGTCGTTTTATGAATATGTATATTTACTTGTATGCATTATACGACACGAGAATTCTAAGATAATACCCATGCAGTCACATCACCGAGACTGACACCAGATCGAACAAACGTGCATTAAAGCCCCTCTGCACTAGTTTGGCCAGGGAGGATTAGACCTCCGTGCAAGGTCACCGACCGTTGTTATCTCATGAAATCAGCTCTCAATTAATATAAGAAAAAGGGGATAAAAAATTATCAGCTTTAGAGTCGAGCAAGTGTCGGTTTGATGGTATGACTGAAAGCACAAGACATTGCAGCACGTCTTAAAATACCGATCTGTGATTGGTTGAAATGTGATCATCACATGATTAATGCAATGACGTACTGCATATACACCCACATTATAGAACATAGAGATTTTGTTCTCTCAAATCCAAAGGGTGCTATTGAGTCTAGTGACTATCCCGATCATGAGGTCGTTGGAGTACATGTAGGTCTATGAATTCCTTGATCTGGCGCTGCTCAGTGGCTGCCGGGCTCACGATCAATTGGGAAAAAAAGAATTTTCATTTTCGATTTAATAAAATTTGGAGTGGACTTTAAAGGAGTATTATTATATGATATGACAATACAAATACACAATACAAATTTAAAGATTTAAGTTGAGGTCTTGTTGATCTAAAGGTTCGCGGTTCGAGTCCCACCGCGGCACTATTAATGTCCTTTGGTAAGACATTAATCTTCATTTGCCACTCTCCACCCAGGTGTAATAAATGGCCACAAGGTAGGAATTTATTCCTTGAAAACTTTTAGCGCCTAAAGGCAGCTGGATTAAAGCCAGGGTAGTAATACTACTACGTGCACAATATAAATGGAGGTACTATTATTATTACTTATACACAACTAGGCCCTACATGATAATGGGAGAACGTGGTTGTTTCCTTATCGTCTCTTTTTTGACAACTTTTAACACCTAAAGGCAGCTGGATTAAAGCCAGGGTAGTAATACTACTACCTGGTACGTGCACAATATAAATGGAGGTACTATTATTATTACTTACTTACACAACAAGGCCCTACATGATAATGGGAGAACGTGGTTTTTTCCCTATCGTCACTTTTTCGACAATCTCTCCCCAGACTAAACCTGTTTGATTATTTATATTTTTGATTTGCTTTGAATATTTTATTCATCCAGTCTTCCATTTATCATTTTTTTTCTTCAATTTAACTTTTTAGATAAAATATGGTGCAATAACAACGCCATTGTCGAATATGTCGGATCGACAAGAACTATATTATGCAATTATTATTGTATAAGTCTATTTTGACAAGCGTAATTCATTCATCATTATTAGTTTGCAATTTAGGGTCAAATATTATATCCCATTGAATAGTTGTAAGTATTAATTATAGCTGTGTGAATACTCGTATTGACTAAAGGTAGAGTTTTATAACAATATGCAATTATGAGTATAAGAACAATGTGAATATTTTAATGGATTTATATTGAATCTGTAATGTTATAAACATTAAATAATGACTACCATAGATTTTGTGTTATGCATTTGCAATAGAAGTAAAAATGTATTTGGAAAACGTGTACTTTTTGTATATTTTGTTGTGTGTGTTTGAGACAAACTCAGGGCGCATTGAAAGTGCGTTAGTGATCATTTTGAAAGTGAGATGAATAAGGTAAATGTAGTTTAAAGGACTACAATTTGGCGTTATTCTTAGATAAAAAGGGAGTTTGTCAGTGCTTAATGGTTGTATAATCCTCTCGAAGGATAGGAACAATTTGAGGGGTCAGTAGCACAAAGACGTTACTCGATTTTGAGAAAAAGTGGTTTATGTGTCACTGAGCACTTGGGCCTTGAGTCCATGTTTCACTATGGTAATCATTGATATCAATGGGGTGTTGGGTGGAGTTAAGTCTTTGTGTTTCCTGGAAGACCCACATTTTTCTAAACATTTTGATATCAAATACTCATTTTGGCAAAGTATGGAGTTACGTCTTTGTCATTGTGTCGCTGAACCCTCGAACTGATCATAAGGAATATATGACATGTTTCACCTACCGTATCCCAAACTGAATATGTTGGGGAAAAAATGCTTAATATTTTTGAACATTTAAAACAATTATAAGTGTACATCAATGTATGTTATCAGGAGTTGTTTCCCAGAGGACTGCGGATCACATGGTTCGAGCCTGAGGTGTTGTGGTCCAGTGGATAAGTCTCCGTACTGTGAACCACCAGGTACGGGGTTCAAATCCCTGTCTCAGCACTAATGTCCTTTGGCAAGACATTAATTTACACTTGCCACTCTCCACCCAGGTGATGTAAATGGGTAGCTGGCAGGAATGAATTCCTTGAAATGCTAGAGCGCTGTAATGACAGCCATGCTAAAGCCAGGGTAATAGTAACAGAGCGCCACTTGAGTGGCAATGTGCCAAACATGAGCGTTATACAAGACTCCACTATTATTAGTACTTGTCTTACCGCTGCATTATTTTCCTTCAATGGCAAGACATCGCATTTATTTTGGCCACTCTCCACCTATGTGTAGTAAGTTCCTTGAACGCTTTCAGCTCATCAGGACAGTTGGGTTGAAGACGGGGGTATTAATAGCAACTTCTTAGGCGCTCTGAATATCCTCTTGGGTTGATAATTATTGTGTGCAATATACATGTAAAAAAAAAAAAAATTACATATAAATGTAAAGCTATTATTAATGTTATTATCCACGTCTTATTACTTGTATTGGCTCAGTCATTGCTGTGATACTTCAACCGTCGTCACAAATTATAGCTGATCATTGAAAATGTTAGTATTAATTTCATACTTCTTATTACTACTACGGTATGTCAAGAGTGAAACAGCCCAAATAGTAGAGTTTTGCCGTATACGTTACATTTCTGATATTTAGCAGTTGTTGTTACGGCAAAAATATAAAACAATCAAGTTTCTTTTTTTAAGATGGCGATTATAAAGCCTACGAACGAGAATTATAGACTAGTGCTGCAGATAGTTGAATAGTACTGGAGAAGGTACATAACTATAAAGTGTAAGTGTTTTTGGAACAATTGCATTATTTATCGGAAGCATGTAGGAGTTTGTGGACTTCAGGTTTTGGCAGGTAATCTGATAACATCTCGCTTCCCTTTTACAAAATTGATATGATGAGTGGTTGTTACAAAATGTTGTTATATTTCAATCGTTTAATTTGTTTGTTTGTTGGTATGAGCAATTTGAATAATTACTGCTCTGATAAAAGTTTTTAATATACACTCCTTGTACTATCCCAGTATCACGGTCGTAACGACTTTCAATAAATCAACCACAAACTATTGCAATGGCACTGTCCATCACTTATTGAAATGCGTGAATATATAAAATTGGTGTATTACGCAATCCAATGATTTCTATGTAATATACGATAGGGTATTGATTGGTATCGCCCTTGGGTTGGTTTCTTCAAAGTCTTTATGATGTAGTTGAATACCATCACTGCATTGATCTTTTGGAAATCGACAAATATCTTTTCTTTTTTTAATATAAATAAATAGTTTAAATAAAGTTAAAGGAAACCCAACTCCAAGGAATAAGTTAAGGTATTCTGAAAAATGAGATGTATAACTGTCCTTTGAATTACAAGTTTCCTTTACACAAAAGTGTTCAAGAGATATGTAAATGAAGATATTCTTGGCATGATGCAATGCCTTTTAGCTGGACACGGGCGCAGCCATTTTCTTGAACATGTGACATACCAGGCGAACTTGTATATGTATCATGCACCAAGCTTTAGTTGGAAAAACTTTTAGTTCAATAACAAATCCTTTACTTTTTAATGAGGGATAATCATAGCCGAGAAGGTAAAAATCATATTAGGTGAAAAATATGTAATAGGGGAACAATAAATTGTAAATCATTTATGGAAAAGTAAAATATATAACAGCTGACAAATCTATTTTATTTGATTTATTCAAAACTATCTGCTCAGAAGAGAACCAACTTATCTAATATGCATTTTGCGTTCTAACAATTCGTCAGGGTTATTATGAACCAACGAATCCGTCATATAATTCTGTACGGTTTTGTCATATATATTATTGTATGGATTCGTCGGCTCAAAATAACACCCGACGAATTGTAGTAGAAAGGATAATAGCAGGTAAATAAAATGCTTCATGACCACACACATCTCGAGAAAAAGCATCCCTAAATTTGAATACATTTAGTTGATAAACGACTTTACATAGTGTGTCACATTATCAAGAAAATGGCAATACCCATGTCTTGCTGAGAAACTGTACATCATTCATGCTTTATACCCCTCCCGTACACTTTGGTTGGGAATCTTGTAGATTAATTGGAAAGAAGAAAAAACATCTCTCAGAATAACTCGTTATTTCTTAGGGTGAGGTTTCCTTTAAGAAACCAGCCCTCGTCAATTTCGTTTTGACATTACATTTGGATTCTTTTGAGAAAAAAAAATCTTTAATTACGGATAGCGAGGTGTTTCTGATACATAATTGACTTTCTTGTAAAGCCAAGTTTTGTGTTCGTTCATACAAGAGGATCATGTATTTACAAAACGTGCCTTCTGTAGTCTCGTAATTACTTAGTCCATAACATAATGTATATTGTGAACTGAAATGTTTGTATTTACATTTTCATTTTACTCACGATTGTTTTTTTTTTATGTTTTATATTTTTATCAACCGTTGTGATTTTTTTGTGTGACCACACTGAATAGATGAAACAGAATTTAGCAGTGATCGTTTTGTGTTTTCATTTATTTGCATGACCTTTGCTATTGAAAAGTTAAAGTGGCGAATGAAATAGATACGCCACTGGGAGGGAGAGGGTCGACAAGCATCACCACATCCATACAATTTCACCCATGTTTACTGATAGAAGGGAAAGGGGGGGGGGGGGTGCTAAGTATCAACAAATTATGAAGACAGTACATAGGCGTGAAGAATGAAGCTCTAGGCATTCTGAAAGCAATCAGCCATGTATCAGCCTTCCAACATCCAATAAGTAAATATTACAGCACCAGTTAAAGTCAGAACCTTGACACATTTTCATTTAAATTCGAAATTGCAATCAAAACGAGGTCACACACGCAAATTTACATTATAA